GAAATGCGGATTCGAGTCCGGCCTGACGCAAAGTTCTGCACATCACTTTACATTATTTGGTATACCCACGACATCTACCACTGCTAAAAACGGTTAATCAAAAGATTTCTATTTGATCAGTCATCAATATCTCTAAGCAACTTTACCTTTCACAAGTGATACATTCGCATTTCTCATTTCCTTCGCCGAAAAAATTTGCCCGTAGAAGCAAGTGATTTCATCGCCAGGTTTCAATTCACGCAAAATCTGAAAATTACTAGAACATTTCTACAGCCTTGTTTTCCAACAAACTGATCTCGAGTCAGGGAGACTTGATCTAGAAAAAAGGCAATAAGATGTGGCAGATTGTACCTGGATATAGGCGGGCGTGCCCATTAGGAACGAAACGACAACTAGGACGGCAGTCATGGTTGATATACGCTTCAGGACCCAACCACAACTGAGCGCATTTCTTTCTGAACACAAGCTGTGTATAAAAGTAATGATTTAAATATGAATTATTTCTACCTCAAGCTATACATAACCGAAAAGTCATTTGATCCTGGTAGCAGTATTTCCTCTTCTTCTTCATCGTTGAGTTCACTAATCACACCACAAAGCCGCTCTATTTTATCACCTCGTTGCCTAAAATACTACACATAGTATGCCGTGCCACCGGGATTATTCAACAGTACTACAATGCATCTAACTTACCAAAAACGAGTCGCAACCAGTTTGGCTCCCATATTCTGCTCAGCTGCATATCGACTACAAACGTCTATGATAAAACCGGCTTTCGAGGAAAAGACATTCAAAAAACGAACAATCTGAAAAATTCTGGGCTCAAAATTAGGTCCAATATCCTACAAAGAAAGAAAAAACTGGTATTTACCAACGCTTTCAATAGATTATTTTGAGACCTCGCTCTAAATTCATAAATCCTGACATCAAATTCTATGTCTTTTATAAGATCTGTTGTGGCACTAATGAAGTGCTAGATACGTATTTCGGCCTTTCAGTCTTATCAGTAGCACGGTGCCTTTTGCTTCGGTCAATTCCTCAAGGATATAGCTCCTTATATTGAGGATTCCACGTCGAATTATTCACACTCAACATACGGTGAAAGGATCACCGTGGTGTTCTTTCAAAATGATTGATTGTCGATTGTCGTTTGCTCAGCTTACGGCTATTACGCTAATATGTCCCTGAGCAACTGACTAAATCGAAAGGCACAGTGCTAATGATACGGCGGAAAAGCCGACGTACGTATCTAACACTTTATAAGCGTCATAACAGACCTCGTCAAAAGCTTAAAATCTGATATTTGTTAAACTTTCAAGATATCATAAACTTTTCCGTTTTCAAACAAGCATTTTTGAAAAAACCTCTTTTTCTGAACAAAGGCTTCCACTAAGCTATTAGCCATCATTCGAAAGCTTAAATCTCGGAAAATTGAATATAGTACTTGTTTTCCGAAAGGGCCTTTACAACTTTATAGCACTGAAGATAGAATGTTACACACGCGCCGCGCACAGTAGCGCTCAAATTTCGTTGGATAGAGCTCTTCACTCAAACTATCACTAACCGTCAAATAGCGTAAATGCTGGAGAGTTTAAAAATGCACTTGTTTCCCAGAAAAGCCTTTTACAGCTCTGTAGCACTGAGCACAGAAATATTTTTTCACATGGGTCGCGCATTATTGCGCTTATATTCCGCTCAACGAAGCTCTTTAGTTGAACTATTACTGACCGTCTTTGGCACTTTATTATGTCTTTACAGTTTTTTCTTCACTGTGCTGTTCCCAGTAATATTATCATTCTCGTTTTTCCGTCTTCTTCCTGGACGTCCTAGGATACTGGATGAGTGCGTCTCCCTGGAATTTAAGAATAGCCAGGCTGTGGCGTTCCATGAGACGCTAGGTACTGACTGCCGGAGAATATTGGATGGTGGGGTTCGGTGCAAGGTCTATCGATCATGCATTCAATCACCTCAAACGAAGTTAAAATTGAAGACGAATGCATGGAGCATCGCTCATGGATTGATCGACGCCGAGGACTTTATCTTTTTTTCTTAAATCTCAAAACAGTATGCATAAACGCTTTTGAAAAAAGAATTCAGTAAACAAATCATTTTTGTGTTGTTCACCGAGAGGAATTAGCGCTGTTTCTACTAGCGTCTTAGTCTTATTGAGGTCTCATCAGTCGTACTCTATGAAATTTTTATGATAATTCGACCATTTAGTTTCAATTATTTCCAAATTTCATCACAAACGACCACACTGTCGCCCCCGACTGTGTCATGTGCCGCGCAAGATTTCAATGTCGCTGTCAAGGGGTTAAGATCAATTTGAAATGGCTGCTGTGGACCTGCTAGAGACCAAAGATCATTTCATTCCACGAAAAGTGGTAAGACATCTGGAAGTCACTACCGAGACTAAAGAACATTTAACTGCACTTAGTATAAAGACCGCTTTTTCTCCTTGCTTGAATTTATTAGATAATTCGAGGCAGCGATTGAGAATATGAATGCCTGGTCTCAAAAACAGTTTAGAGTCTATGTGGTCATAGAACTGTGACTAAAACCGGTAGTTACCAACTATCCGCAGTAAAAAAAATTGATTTACACATGTTTTAGGAAAAATATTATCCGAAGTGATACTTTGTTCGCCTTCCCCCGAGTGAGGAAGGAGCAAACTGACATGTGATCATCTACTCAGCCAAACGCTTTGATAACTAAAGGAGATAAGACTCGAAACCTAGATATTAGATCACATAATAAGAAAGATATCAAACACCTACCGTTTACTGTCCCAGTGTTTACCTGTTTTTATTGGAAATCAGTCACACCGAGTCTCACAAGATCGAGGACTGTGTTTGGCTCAGATTAGAAAATCGATCTAAGACATGACGTGAGACGCTCACGGCCACGTGGCACTCAACTTTGCGATCCACTTAGCGCACTTGTGGCATAAATTTTAGCACTTTATCTGGAACTTCTTTTCAACGAGCTTCTGTTCACTGCATGAATTTCAGTACTTCTGGCACTCAATGGTTTTTTTTTTCGCCTTCGAATGTCGCATATTACTGGTTGAGGGCGTCTCCTTGAGATCTCGAGAACAGCCCGGCTGTGGCTTTTATAGGGTGTTCGTTGTTGACTACCAGGAAGCAATGAGGGTGAGATTTGGCTTTGCGCGCGCTGCGACGGGCATCAAAACCATTCGGCCACGGGGCCGTGGCATAAACTTCGATTCATATAAGTGAAAACGTTGGACTCTTTCTCAGCTTGGGTGGCTTTGCTGTGGGATGGGGCGGGCTGAGGGGTAGGAGCGTACTTAAAAAATGTACTAAACTAAATCGAAACTGTACCTGTAACACTATCACTCATTGTGATGTCCATAAAGCTTGTGTTCTCAACATCCTCACGTTCGTCAGCTTTGTTGGAAGGTGTTAGCGAAAGGATGTGATCTCGATCGGGACGATATTATTCGAGTATGATAGAATAAATTTCATAAAACTAAATATTACAATTAAACAACGTCAGAACCCCGTCTGAACTCATTGTTTCCTGAATCTTCGCCATGACAGGTGATCCGTTCAGCAATTCAAATGGTTCTCGTCGAAAGTTCTTCAAGAAGTACTCTAGAAATTGGAGAAAACACGTCTAACTAATAGGAAATAAAGTACAAAACGTTGCTCACTGAACAGTTTTCACATTGTGGAAACTAACGCGACGTCTGAAGACTTGCTTTGCTCGTCATCAGCAACATCCGTATTCTCTACAGTCACATCACCTTGCCGTAGTTTCAGAATCTGAGTTATACCAAAATTATCCAAGTGCTCCATACTGACCCTTTGGGGACCAGCGTGGAAAAGAAGCGACGACGCGGTGGTCGCAAGCACGGCAGTCGCAGGCAGACAGCATCTGCAACATCGATCGCGCCTGCAGATGCTGCCTGTCTACTTTGCTCCCAGACGCGACGCTGCCATTACAGTAGCTGAGTGGCGCGTGATGCCGCGCGTCGTGCTACATTTTGTAGCACGTGGTTGCCCAAAGGGTTAAAGACTCTCCTAAATGGATAAACAGAGAAATTACACAACAAATGAAATTCTCCTTAGCAATCTGACTAAAATAACGACCCACCGAGCTTCGTCTACCTTTTTGCGATGAATAGTCCATGACTAAAGCTGTCGGAAAATTGTTCTATCTGCAAACGTATACGTATGAATACACAAGTCATATGTAGGCATATATATTATGTACATATAAAACTGAGGAAGGAAAACAATATCCTAGGAATTAATCTTTATTCCAAGCTTTCGCAAAGTCGTATCACTTATTCTCCTTTGAGAGTCCCTAGACTGAACAACTCGGCTCTGAAGAAGGCGACCGTATCGAAACGTCAGCCACCAATATTCAAGGAGATCCAGCGATTGTCCAAGAGGACCATCGATTGAAGAAATGATACTAACTCGCGAAAACTTGGAATAAAATTAGTTCCTAAGCTATTTTTTTCTTTTTCTCAGTTTTATATTATTAACATGCCAACGTCCAAGGGAAGTCGGTCTTTCGAGCAATTTATATACTATACATAATATATATATATATGTAATGCATATCTGGCTTTTACAGTGGCTCACGGTTGACCTACTGATGTATCAAGTCAGTGATGTTATCCTCCCAAACAAGTCTGCTGCTAATTGACCGACCTCGGACGTATGGAAGACTTGGTGAGCCCAGAGAGCGCAATCGAACCATCGTTTCTCGTGTGTGTCGCAGAGCGCCTTCAATCATAATGCTAGTAGACACGCCTTCTGAATAACAGTTACGGACATACAAACATTATGAATGTGGCTCGAAACGTGGCGTTTACGAGTTAGGCTTATTCTCCTCAGGGAAGAAAAGACAAAGTGCTAGACAGATATGGCTACTGTACAAAAATAGGCAATAGTTGAACAACTGGCCTAAACTTGAGCATCGGACAACGACACCATTGAGGATGCTGAGTGATATGCGAAGTTCTGAACCTCAGGTGGGAGTTGAACCCGCATCTCAACGGCAAAGAAGCGCGTTCTACCACTACACCACCGAGACCACTGTCCTGCTTTTTTATCACTGGATCAAATGAATGAATTGAATCCATGTGAGACCGAAAAATCAAAGCCGCTAATGTATCGTAAAACTTTTAAAAATGTAAAATTGTGTTGTAAAATCGAAATCACGTAGGAGAAGAAAACAACGAAAAATTTGCTGTTCTCAAGACCGACTATCTATAAATCTCGGTATAGATTGAGTAATCCGGCTTCTTCTGATGAGCACAAAAGAGGATGAAATTAATTGAATTTTTTTGATTATAATTTTTTTTCCCAACGGGGTATGAAGGGGAAAAATGAGAAACCGACTTCATCCGCTGAAGAGGATTTTTTTCGCAGTAGTGCTAGTCAGCATTCGAAAGGTTCAATCTCTAGCTACAGTCGCACGTTGCCGAGTTTAGTATAAGACCTTTCTATAACGCTATGGAATTTGAAATTTAATAAAATCATGATTCACACCCGCCTCGCGCTTCATTTCTCTCACGCGTATAATTCTCGGGAAAGAACGAAAGGCATATGAACGCTTAGAGAAAATCTTGTAGTATCTAAATCAATCGTTTTATCCAAAATTTCTTCAAAGCGCAGAAAAAATTCCGCTATTAAATGATGACTAATAGTCTAAAGAAAGAGCTCTACCCGGCGAGGTTTCAGAGCACAAAGCTTTTCTTTCTCCTACAGCGCTATCAAAAGAGCTTTTCAAGAAGCAATCATGTCTTTGAGTTCTTTGAAACTTGTGCTATCGAAAGAGTAGTAGCAGTCTAAGGGAGGAGTTATGTCCAGCGAAATATGAGCAAGACAAGAAAAAGGCGTGATTGAATGAAACATCATTTTAATTTGAATTTTACAGCGTTGTAAAGAGGATTTTTCGAAAAATTAGCCACATGTGGCTCTACTCAGAGACATAAGCTTTCGTACGATTTCTAACACTCCTACGAAAAGTTTTTGAGCGAATGAGGCCGGTTTTCTCATTTGTTCCCTTATGACTACAAAGTACCAAGTTTTGTCTAATCTGGGCCAGGCACATTCCCATTCCATGCATGACTGCGTATGGCTGGTCTCCAATGGAGTAACCGAAACCTTATAGGGAACAAAACTGTGGGTATCCCAAAAAAAGCTAAAAACGTTAAGTTTCAAAATGAAATATTAAATTTGATCAGCTGATGTTACGAAAGTGTTTGACTGAGAGGATTTGTACATACATTATGTATTTGTATTAGATTTTTTGTATATGTCCATTCCAATTACCACACCTAGTCTCCTCTCCGAATATTTCAGCTGCAATGCATTCTCATCTTCAGGCAAATTCTTTATAATTCCGGGGTGTGAAATTAGAGATAGGCCATTGTGATAATATAGCTGAAAGAAATAACTTTAAGTCGTAAAGGAATGCTTCATTGATCGTCGACACCTAATCATCTCAAAATCACAGTGACAAAATAAATATATATCAAAAGCTTTGAGAATCATTTATCTGAGCTAGAGTTGAAAAATGATTTTTCTTCTTTGGGTAGAAATAAAAAATGAGGGTGAATTGTCATTGAGGAAACTGCACCTAAAAATTACGCAGCTTAGTCTATTCATCTTGAATGATGACTTTTACTTATAATACATCGAAAATTTTTATTGAAACGCGCATGTAGCATTGTCATGACGACATAACGATATAGTCAAGGATGTTGAGGGATATGCAAAAGCTTGATTATTGGGCGAAAGTTGAACGTGCGTCTCACGCTTTTCGGAGCTGTTCCAACCACTACACCATAGAAGCCTCTCCTCTGCTACCGCTCTTTTTGTGATGCATAGCTTTGCATATCGCTTAGCATTCTTGGATATATAGGTGCATTGTTTTGTTCATTTTCTGCTTACCTATGACTCCTAAATTTCTCGCAAGTCACTTCCTGTCCGGGTACCTCATATTACTATAGATTTCCATTTTTAAGGCACCTATTATTTGAAATCTGACAGTACCAAAAGTCTGAGGGAATGAGGGATTCCTGTTCTCAAGAAGCAAAAATAGGTCCAGACAGCAAAAAGATCCTATTCATGTTGTCTGGGTGATAAAGTAGTCTAATAAATAAGTTTACAGGGTTGTTCCAAGGAATGGCAACGCCATACACCCTGTCTCGGTGCTACATCTGATGTAAGTTTGCTACCTAAGAGGGATTGCTTGAAGCATCCTACCTATTGTCCAAAATCCCTTCATTTACCGTTAGGTAGCAGTGTTATGATGTTATGACCACGTACCCAAAAATGATGAGTGAGAGCTGTTCAAGAGTACCGATAGTTAAGTGGTTAGCACGCGGCCTTGGGACGCTAAGACGCGGAATCAACTCCTGTCCGAGGTTCAAAATTTTGATATCAGTTAACATTTCCGGACATCTCACCTCACACTTACGCCTTTTGGACAGTTGCGAGTTAATAAAACTCTGATTTACCTGATTCAGGTATTTAGAGAGAAAAACAAGCTCTTTCAGCGTTCAACATGTCAATGAGGAAAACAACAGAGATTTCGAAGTTATTTTGAAGCCACACACCAGCTCAACCACTCCCAGATATACGTGTCTAAGTGAATAAGTAAGATTAATAAGTTAGCATATAGTAATGTACCAACGACACTACTACAGTTAGAAAATCCGGAGTTATCGAAGGTATTTGGGAGAATGAACAGGGCGTGCTGAGATCAGCACAAATGTGATGGGCGCTGGCTAAAGTCGTATAATAAGTGGTTCGTGATATATGTGTGGGAGAATTGCGACATGGCGAAAAATGCGTGAGAGAAATTATGGTATTCACTTTTTGCGTGAGAAAAAATTTCTACGTTAAAAATTATGAGGGTGTGGAAAAAATACGATTTATGGTCTATGCGTGAGAAGAAATTACGATTTGTTAAGTGTTTTTCTATACTCATTTGAATGCGTGGATGATCTATTTTCGCATCTCATGTTACCGACCAGTAATCATTCCATTCGTCTCGTTGCCGTCTTCATTCACGGAGGTATTCAAGCTTGGTCCTCAGCTCGGATTCAACTTGAAACTGCTTTTCTTCCTCTCCCATTAATATCTGAAATGGCGTTATTCAAAACAACCAGGCTAAGATTTCTCTAGATAGTCACCAGAGGAGATTCCAAGTTGGAGGAATGTATGCTGTCTTACGATTTAGATACCTGCTGTTGTAAGGTAGCAAGGAACTTTGCGCCTAATCCGACCTGCTGCTTGAGGATCATGTAACAAACCAAATCCTACAAGGTGTCGACAACGATAAACTCAACATTTGCAGGTCAACTGAGCTGGGACAGCATAACTTTTCTGAATTTTTCCGCTTTTACACAAAAAGGAAAATATTGGTAATAAGATGTCATAGTTGGTATGTTATCAACACGTGCCCGAAAGGTGTGAAATGAGGGTTCGATTCCTGTCCAACCCGCGAAGTTTCGAATATCACTCAACATGCTCGGGTATAATTTGTGTATCAAACCATCGCTAAAGAGCGGTTAAACAGAAAGAGTACCAGCTGATTATGATAATTGATATTCATTGCAAAAAATGGAGTTAGTCTTTATAAGCAATATATGTGTAAGCACAAACGTGAAACAAAATATATTGATTATTCACTCCAGTATAATTGCTGATTTTCTTCTTCAAGCAAAACACGAGGTGTTACTATAAACATTATTCACAGCTGACGTTTCGGCAGTTCGCCTTCTTCAGAGCCTAGAAATGTCAAATTGTCCGCAGTCCAATCAGTCAAACACCTCCATTACTTCTTCAGAAAAAATCACCAGACCTAGATTTCAATCGTATCAAGCGCAAAAACAACTCTCAACATACTCACCGCTTTTTATATGTGTTTTCCGCATTACAAGCCACACATGAGCTTCTGATACAACACCAGAGAGCTATAAACATGTATGGCTTGTCGAATGAGCAGTTCATGGTCCTATTGAAAGAGTGCCTGAACTGCTCAAATCTTCAGATGGTTCGGGAAATATTATACTTAAATGAGAGGGCTGGCAATGGGGCAGCGAGGGGCACCTAGCCTGGCGATTGCCTTTATGTCTAGAATGGAAGCACCAGTAATGGATCTCCGGCCATGACTCTACTGTAGGTATATAGACGATTGTTTGGTTATCTGTTCCACTCAAGTCGAGCTAGATAATTGTTTCAGATTGCTGAATGAATAGTCAGAGTATATAAGATTCACCCGTGAGATACCAGAGGACGATTGGCTTCCATTCTTGAACGTGCAAATAAGCTTAACTGAGAGCGGCTACATAACGAAGTGGTACCGAAAGCCAAGTCGTAAGAATATCCTGGTTCACTATCTCTCTTCTCATCCCTCACATAAGAAGAAGACGCTAGTAAAAAACATGTTTCGAACAGCAGCCAATGTATGTACCGGGGAGGAGCAGAGAGTAGAATCAGTGAAACTGGCTCGGGAAATAGCCACTTCTAATGGATACGAATTCGTGGCCCCTCGGCTTAGGTTTAGAGGAAATAATGCGCCTCCGAACGAAAACTGAGTTGAAAGGAAAGTCCTGTTTATTCTCCTGTTCTTTTCAAATGAGATTAGTACAGCTATAAAACGCTGTTTGAAAAGAGCGGGTTTAGAGCAATCGGTGACCATTATTGAAAGAAATGCCACCGAATACTCTAAAGCGCCAACTAGTTCGCCATCGCTTATATGACCGTCTCTGCATAACGAAAGATTGTAAAATATGTCCTAACGGCAGAGACGGTGATTGCATGAGCGTAGGTACAGTCTACCTAGTCTCGTGCGAAGCGTGTAGTGATAAATATGTTGGCGAAACGGGTAGGCCACTCTATGCTCGCATAGAAGAACACCTAGATGACAAACGTCTTAATAGACGGAACACCTCGCTAGGAATGCATAGAGCACAGAAGCACGACGGAGTTGATTTGGAATAGAAGTCACCATCCTTGCGCAGAAGCAAAAAACATCAGCGCGAAAGATCTTGGAAGCGTTTTGGATCACTGCGACCA